TAAATGCTATTAAATTTATATCTGCACATATTTCTACATCCATATGTACGCATATGCATATACCATGAGGAAGAAAAATATAGAAAGAAACAGATTTTAACAAATATTTTCTTTGGTTGCAGGGATTACAGTAGATATTTATTTTCTTCTTTATACCCTTCTGTATATCCAAATTTCTTGCTACAAATATTTGTTTTTATAATCATTAAAGAGATTATGATAATTGTTTTTCTAATCAAAAAGGACTATGAAACCAGAAAGAAGATGTGTTTTCTGAGCTATCACAATTTTAGTCTTGAACAAACCTAGTTATGAGACAGCTCAGAGCATCATGCATCCTAGCAGCCTCTCCTCTGACCCCTAAATAATGCCACAGGGAGCAAGGGGAAAGGCAGAGTACAGAATCATTAATTTTATTTGTCAGTCATAAACTATTATTAAGCATCTACTGTATGTCCAGCCACCTGTTAATACATTTGCTTCTAAGAATATCTTAATGAGTTAGAGTGACAAAATATTCATGTAGAGAGAATAAACGTTTTTCTCTTTTACAGTTGAGGATACATTTCCACTTGGAGGTTTTTCTATTTTGCCTGTCTAAAAAATGTGGTTGTGACAGGAACAGAATTAGCTTTGATTTATTGAAGATACAATATATGGTCATCACGGTGCATATATTATATATAATCTTCACAAATTTTTCCAAAATAGGTGTTATTATTCCTTATTTTACAGATTCAGAAACTGATACTTGTTCAAGATCATAAGGGAAGAATATCTAGGATTATAGCCAATATTCTTTCACGTTATGTTGCTTCTTTTTGAAGTTTTTATTTAACTTAATAACCAAGGAGGAACAAGGGGGAAAAAAAAGGCATCATGTACTATTATGTGTTAAAATGGATTTGCAACCAGGTGCTAGGTCTCTATAGCTTTCAGGTATATTTTGTCCCAATTTCTTAAGCTTATCGGTCCTCAGTCTGTCCCATGAGTAGGGAGCAGGCATTAATTGTTTCAAGTGTCTGTTTTGTGCCTATAAATGTCCCTTAAGGGAAAGTGTCCAATGTGTTCTGAAAGCACCCAGTCATTTCTTAAACTTCTCCCACCCTTCAGAGAACTAGTAAACAAATGGCAGCAAGTGAGGAGACAAATCCTTATGACATTCTAGTTATTTAAAAAGAGGTTAAAGAAGTCACGGGACATTTTTCTTTAATGGGTCACTAAATCTGCTCCAGATTATAAAAAGGTATGTGTGCAGCAGTAGCTAAAATAACGTGAGCATATCTTTCCTCCTACCTCTAAATGATTTTTGAGAAAACAATAGGGAATTGATTTTTTTTTTTAATGTCACTTAATAAAATAACTGGCATGTATTTACTTACTTTGATAAGGAAAAAAGCCATCCTTGAGAAGTGGTGCTGTAATAGTTAGAAGGGGCTTACCACAGGTCTTTCTGAAACCTGAGATTCAGTCACTTTGATGGCTTCCTTCAGAGTGACTGGTCTTTGTTCGTTCTATCCACCTGGTATAGCAAGAACATATTCTACTGGTCTAGGGTACTCTTGGGGGGCAGTGCTGATTTAGTGGTAGAAATCTCACCTTCCATATGGAAGACCTGGGTAGATTCCTGGCCAATGCACCTCAGTCGAAGTCACCCATCTGTCAGTGGAGGCTTGTGTGTTGCTGCTATGATGCTGATCAGGTTTCAGTAGAGCTTCTAGGGTAAGGCAAATTAGGAAAAAAGATCCAATGATCTACTTCCAAAAATCAGCCAGTGAAAACCCTATGGATCACAGTGTTCCACTGTGTATGGGTCACCATGAATTGGGGGCCAACTCGCTGGCAGCTAACAAGAAAAATAATGACAACAAGGGTGTTTTTAGAGCTCTTATGTGCTCTATTCCTAGCAGCAAAATCTAAACTCTGTCTAAATCTGAATATTCTACTACTCATTTCACTGATTTATCACTAATCTGTCTAGACTCATTAAAAGCATCTACTTCAGTTCCATAAAATTAGACCAGGGAGACATTTGACCATTGATTTGATATTTTGCACCTAGAAGAGGAAAATAAACAAACAAAAAAACTAAACTTTATAAAAACCTTTAGTTTTGCAGTTTCTATAATTCAATAATAATAATAATAATAAAGTGAAGGAAACAGACCTAGATGGCTAGGCTTGTTAAGGTCCCTTCTGTCATGAGGGCAGTAGGAGTGCAGTAGGTATAATCCTAGGGGAGTAGATATAGTTAGTGGGTAAGAAGGTGAGTTCTGGAGCCAGAAATCATGGCTTTGAATCCTAGCTCTGCTACTTATTTGCTAATATGACTTAGGCAAATAAATTAACTTCTCTGTTGTTCAGTTTACTTACGAGTAGAACAGTAGCGCCTAACTCAAAGCTTTGTAAAAAAAGATTAAAAATGGTGCAGTGCTTAGCGTATACTCTCAATTAATATTAGCTACTATTTTTAATTATCTTAGTTTCCAGGCATTTACTAGATTCCTGGGGATACTCAAACAAATAAGACATGGATTCCTACTTACCCGTTGCCGTCGAATGGATTCTGACTCATAGCGACCCTATAGAGCTGTCCGTTGGGTTTCCAAGGAGCAGCTGGTGGACTTGTACTACTGACCTTTTGGTTAGCAGCCGAGCTCTTAACCATTGGGTCACCAGGGCTCTGGGTTCCTGCTTAAAGGCAAAAAACAAAACTTATTGCTGTCGGGTTGTTTCCAACTCATAGCGACACTGTAGAACAGAGTAGAACTGTCCCGTACGGTTTCCAAGGAACGCCTGGTGGATTCAAACTGCCGACCCTTTGGTTAGCAGCTGTAGCTGTCAACCACTGCACTACTAGGGTTTACTTAGAGGATCTTAAATTTTATCAGAGAACACAGAAGCGTTCCATTTCATTTTTGACGATTTCCAATTTTCCTAGATTCGTACTTTGTACATTTCAGGTTCCAATTATTAATGGATGTTTGCAGCTGTTTCTTCTCATTTTGAGTCTTGCCACATCAGCAAATGAAGGTCCCAAAAGCTTGACTCCATCCACGTCATTAAGGTCCAGTCTACTTTGAGGAGGCAGCTCTTCCCCAGTCGTATTTTGAGTGCCTTCCAACCTGAGGGGCTCATCTTCCAGCACTGTATCAGAAAATGTTCTGCTGCTATTCATAAGGTTTTCACTGCTAATTATTTTCAGAAGTAGACCACCGAGTTCTTCCTAGTCTGTCTTAGTCTGGTAGCTCAGCTGAAACCTGTCCGCCATGGGTGACCCTAGTGGTATTTGAATATGGTGGTATAGCTTCAAGCATCACAGCAACACACAAGCCCCCATAGTACGACAAACTGACAGACGCATGGGGGAATCTTTAGTAGTCAAGCACAAACCATTTGCTCCACCCAGGAACTTTTAAGAGCAAACTAGGCCATTAATAATTCATGATAGGTTCCCTCCTTGTACTTATTTATTGAAAAAATAAATAGTATTATTTTGACTTAGGGTATAAAAATCCCAAGCATGTAGTTGAACAAAGCAATGTGGAAAATCTATTTGCATTTACAATGCTATATTACCAAACATAACAAAGTCTTCCATGATGCTACCAGTTCTTTCTGCCGGATGTACGTATAAGCACTCCTTATCTCAAATCTTCTCCTAAATGTTTACAGATTGTGAGTTTTCTCATTAAGTTTGAAGTGTCCACTAAACTTCAATAAGCTAACTGTGGAGCCAGTTAATAATCTGAGGAATACTGATTGCTGAACAAGGGAGGAAGAATAAAAAACCCCAACACCCTATTCTAACAATCTAAAGTAGCACACACTCTCACCCTTCACCATCAAATTCATCTCAGAAAGATAAATTTACTGCCTTTAGTAAGCTTTACTGTTGAAAAGAAAAGCATTTTATGCTGTCTTTAATTTTTTTCAGATTTTCGTTATTTTCTTCTGCACAGAGTTACATATGGAGGCTCAATGCTTTCAAATACAGGCTTATTTGGAGGGGGTGGAAAAATAATAAGACAAAATTATTGGAGTTTTTTTTAATCATTCTTTCCTGACTTATACTCATTATTCTTATTAAAAAAGTTATTGAAAAGAGTTAATATAATTATATTTTGCTAAAGATCTATTGGGGAAAACCCACAAGGAATAACAAATAAAAACCACTCAGAATAGCCTCGATCTGAACAGAGTGGCTGTATTTTCATCAGCAGCACATCAGAGTTAATATATGTGCCACAGCTTTGTCATTTGGAGAAACAAACCCATGCACAAAGAAAATTCCTTTGATGGCAATATGTACGTATATGTTTCCCAAGCAATTTATTTTAGCTCATGTATGCAGATTAATGGGAAAATATTAATTAGGTTAAAGACATAACTGCTATAAGAAAAGGACTCCCAGTTACAATGGCTTTATGACACAGAAGTTTTTTTCCCTCTTATGTGAAAATTCGATGATGAGATGACTCTGCTCCACACTGCCATTCTAGTCCCAGGGTTCCTTGCATTTTATTTTTTACTCTTCCCTCCTTATTGTCCTCATCTGCAAGGCTTAAGCTGGGTTGTACGCATCAGGATGTTAGCGTTCATGGGGAAAAAAAATAGAGTATGCATGGCCATTGCTTGTACGCCCAGACCTGGAAGCGACATACATTATTTCTGCCCACATTCTATTAGTGAGAATTTAATTCCATGGTTACTGATAGCTGCAAGGGAGGCTGAAAATGTAATCTCTATCTGGGCAGATAGGTGCTATGTTTTTATTGTTATGAAATTGAAAATGAAACCAAACTTGTTACTGTTGAGTCAATTCCAACTCATAGCAACCCTATAGGACAGAGTAGAACTGCCCCATAGAGTTTCCAAGGAGCTGCTCATAGATTCGAACTACCAATCTTTTGGTTAGCAACTGAACTCTTAACCACTGTGCCACCAGAGCTCCACTATCGAAGAAGGTGGAACAAATTTTGAGGGACAAGTAACTCTCTGAGTTACACGAATAAATTGGACAAAATCAGTATTCTCCAAATTACCAGTTCCAAATAAATACAGCAATTTTCATCCTTAAGGTATGTAGTAAAGGGCTATTTTTTAAAGTTACTGCATGATTCATTATGACAAGTATAGTTATCAACAATGTAAAGGTGAGAAATCTTTTTTCTTTTTAAGTTTTGTAGGAGTTATTACTCATCCTACTCAATTCACTGTTTTGTAGCATTTCCTAAGGTGAGACTTTAAGGGTAAGAGAGAAGCAAACAAGATTCATTTTTAGAACATATAGAAACCATTGCAATTATTATGGATCATCGATTTATCCATGAATGACATGTAAGATTATCAGTTCAATCAATACCAAAGAAAACTGTGGTCAATTGCTTCTTCATACCTTAAAACAAAGATATTTATTTGTTGTATATATATGCATATATATAGTCATTTATTTATACAATTAAAAGAAAATTATGTCCACTACATGCATAAATTTTCATAATAAATGAAATAAACAAAAAACTTGTATGAGTAGCTGACTTCTACATTTACAATGTTAGAAACATTTATAATTTTAAGATGATAAGCTTTATGGGAGGGAGATGCATAGTTATCAAGTATCCTTTTCCCCAGTTTTCACATATGGAACATTATCAATGTATTCATACTAAACTTGAGGGTATGAAACTGAATACAGAGGGAGTTAAGTGAAAAAACCTGGGATCATTGGCCATAAAGAAATCTGGGTTCCAATCCCACTTATTAGCTGTATGAATTTGAGTGTTACAGTTAACTCAAAACCCTGATTCTGTTTCCAGAAAATAAAGTTAGAATAATAATATTTACATTACAGTCATTCTGAATGAATTAAAGGAGATGGTTTATGTAAAGAGTATGGTGCTTAATTGTTTTCTTGCCTCCTCCATCAAAACACAATTTTTGTAGTTATCTATGGCTGTGTGGAAAACTGCTTTCATAAATCAACGGCAATTTTCTTATGTTCATGGTTCTGTGGGTCTCGAATTCAGGCAGGCACAGAGGGAATGGCTTGTGTCTGCTCCGTGATGTCTGAGGCCTCACCTAGGGTAGTCTGAATTGTTGCAGATACGTAGGATGGCTTGATTGTGACCACAAACTTGAGGCCTCAGTTCTACCACTTGTCTGTCAGTTTGCCATACTATGGTGGCTTGCATGTTGCTGTGATACTAGAAGCTACGCCACCAGTACTTCGAACACCAGCAGGGTCACCCTTGGTGGAGAGGCTTCAGTGGAGCTTCCAGACTAAGACAAACTAGGAAGAAGGACCTAGCATTTCTTCCTGCATGTAGCCTCTTCATGTGGCTAGAGTAGATTTTCTTGCAGCATGGTGATCTTAAGCTATTCAGACATTTTACACGGCATGTGACTTTCCCTAGAGTGAGCTTCCAAGGGTACAAGGTAAAAGTAGAAGGCCTAAGACCTAATCTCAGCAGTTTTTCAGCATCACTTCTGCCACAGTCACAGGGGACTCTGGAAGGAGTGGTATGCACATATAAGGAGGGTGGAATTGTTTGGGGTCATCTCTAGAGACCAAAAAAAAAAAAAAAAAAACCAAAAACCAAACCTGTTGCCATCGAGGCGATTCCAACTCATAGCAACTCTATAGTACAGAGCAGAATCACCCCATAGGGTTTCCAAGGAGTGGCTGGTGGATTCGAACTGCTGACCTTTCGATTAGCAGCCGTAGCTTTTAAGCACTGTGGCACTAAGGTCCCCTTTAGAGACTAGCTACTGCAAAATAAAGTTACATATAGTATTCTTTCTTAAATTATTTTTCCTACTGATTTCAGGGAATGTTGGCTGGAATTCTGGCCCTGGGCTTTTGAATACCATGGTTTAAAAAGGATTGGCAAAACAAAAAGGAAAGAGGTAAGTAGAGGAAAAACAATTCATCCTTTACAAAGAAAAACAAAATAAAAACAAGAAATTGGTAGTACATTAATAATGACAAAAATTATATCACTACTATAACTTGCTGGGTCAGCTTGAGTTATAATTAAAGACTCATCTCTTTTTAATATTTAAATGGATTACTGGAGTTCCCACCTGCCTATATTGGCAGGGCATCCATTATATTTTATTGTCTCACCTCTTTCAAATCGTCCATTAGCCCTCGGAGATTACTTAGCCCAAAGAAATCTGTCCTGTTTTTAAATGCCAGAGGAAAAGACAGCTGGAAAAACTGATCTGTTTGCTCATGGGGTTTAGTGTTCTCCTAGGTTTATTTTGATTGCAACCAAAATACACATCCTTATTGAAAATTGATCTGACACAATTTAAAGTGCCCTGGTCCACTGCTGGATTCCCTGGGTAGTGCAAATGGTTAATATGCTTGACTGCTAACTAAAAGGTTGGAGGTTTGAGTCCACCCAGAGACACCTTATAAGAAAGGCATAGTGATCTACTTCACAAAAATCAACCATTGAAAATCCTGTGTAGCACAGTTCAACTCTGACATACCTGGGGTTGCCATGACTCAGCTTGACTCAGTGGTGACTGGTTTCTCACTGGTGTCCACTGCTGTGGTGATAACTTTTCATAACCACAGAGGTTAATTGATTCTACCACTTTCTATACTTAAACATCAACCAAGAAATATCTAGATTTGGGCTCCTAAGTTTATAGGTCTTAGAAGACCCTTCGGTGACTTCTCCTGCCCAGTCGTTATTTCCATAGATGACTTCTGACTCTATCCACATATGTAGGTCTCTGCTACACATCCCTGACCAACTTACCATCTGAATCCACCAGGGTCTTCTGCTTGTCCCAAAAAGTATTAGCCTATACATGGACAAGACATGAAAATCAAGAGCCGTCACATAAAAATCCAGACATCTGGTTTATGTTTAAAAACTAGATCAGATAACATTTCATCCTTATTCCTAAGAGACAACTGAGGAGCGGTTACCTTCTCAAGGGGATTTTGCCATACTCACTCTCTTCCTTCTGCTGTGTTATCCAGGCTGTACTTGTAATTGTTACTGCTGATCTGGTCCCTCCTGTTGAATGTGGTCTGTAAGTCATACTCTTCTATCTTTCACAGTGGTGGTTTTAAATGAGTGGTATAGGGAGCCTGGGGATTCCTAAGATCCTTGTGGAGGGTTTGTAAGGTTAAAATTATTATAACAATACTAAGGCATCAATTTTTAACCTTTATTTCCTTCCAAATGTACAGGGAAATTTTCTACTGAACATTTGGAAGATCTACATAACTCAGTGACGCAATATTCTCCATATGACCAATGCATAATATTACAAATCATGCATGGATAAAAGATTCATTTAAAACACATGCTCGACAAATGGACTTCAAGTACAAAAAGTTTAATGATATTGTTTTAGATTCTACATTGATACTAATTTTAAAGAAAATACCACTTGTGGAGTTTAGGCATTGTATCAAAGAGTATTGAAAATTATGTGAAAAAGCTATTAAAGTACCCTTCCATTTTCCCATTACTTATTTCTGTGAGCTCATGTTTTCTTCATATATTTCAACCCAAACAACATATCACAACAGATTGAATTCAGAAGCAGATATGAGAATCTAGCTGTCTTCTATTTTGCCATATATTAAAGATATTTGCAAAAATATAAAGGACTGTACTCATCTCAATATTTTTTATTTTGAAAAATGTAATTTTTTATAAAATATGCTATTTATGTTCACATATTTTTAATTAATGTAAGTGAATTATTAAATATTTTAAAATTCCTCCTTGTTTTTACTAATACTAGTAATACATAGGAAACCCTTGTGGCTTACTGGTTAAGAGTCTGTCTGCTAACCAAAAGGTTGGCAGTTGAATCCACCAGGCACTCCTTGGAAACCCTGTGGGGCAGTTCTACTCTGTTCTATAGGGTTGCTATGAGTCGGAATTATTTTTAGTAATACATATATATATAGAGAGAGAGAGACCACCATTCATCTGTCAGTTTGTCTTACTATGTAGCTTGTGTGTCACTGATGCTAGAAGTTATGTCACTGGTATTTCAAATATGAGCAGGGTCACCCATGGTGGACAGGTTTCAGAGGGGCTTCCAGACTAAGACAGACTAGGACCTGGAGATCTACTTCTAAAAAAATTTACCAGTGTAAATCTTATGAGTAGCAGAAGAGCATTTTCTAAAATAGTGCCAGAAGACGAGCCCCTCAGGTTAGATGGCACTCAAAATACAACTGGTATTTGCTCATATGCAATTTCAGATTGAAGCTGAAGAAAATTAAAACAAGTCCACGAGAGCCAAACTACGAACTTGAGCATATCCCACCTGAATGTAGAGACCATCTCAAGAATAGATTTGATGCATTGAACACTAATGACCAAAAATCAGAAAAGTTGTGAGATAACATCAAGGATATCATACATAAAGAAGGCAAAAACTCATTGTCATCCAGTCGATTTTGATTCATAGTGACCTTATAGGACAGAGTAGAAAAGCCCTATAGGGTTTCCAAGGAGGAGCTGGTGGATTCGAACTGCCGATCTTTTGGTTAGCAGCCGAGCTCTTAACCACTGTGCCACCAGGGTTACAAAGAAAGCAAAAGGTCATTAAAAAGACAGGAAACAAAGAAAAGACCAAAATGGATGTCAGAAAAGACTCTGAAACTTGCTCTTGAACGTAGAGTAGCTAAAGTGAATGGAAGAAATGATGATGTGAAAGAGCTGAACAGAAAAATTCAAAGGGTGGCTCTAGAAGACAAAGTATTCCAATAAAATATGCAAAGACCTGGAGTTAGAAAACTAAAAGGGAAAAACACGGTAGGCATTTCAGAAGCTGAGAGAACTGAAGAAAAAAATTCAAGCCTTGAGTTGCAATATTGAAGGATTCTATAAGCAAAATATTGAACAATGCAGGAAGCACCAAAAGAAGATGGAAGAAATAAACAGAGTCACTGTACCAAAAAGAATTGGTCAACATTCAACCATTTCAGCAGGTAGCATATGATCAAGAACCAAAGGTAATGAAAGAAGAACTCCAAGACGCACTGAAGGCATTGGCGAAAAGCAAGGCTTCAGGAATTGACGGAATACCAATTGAGATGTTTCAACAAACAGATGCAGCTCTGGAAGCACTCACTCGTCTATGCAAAGAAATTTGGAAGACAAAGTTACCTGGCCAACTGACTCAAAGAGATCCATATTTGTGCCCATCCCAAAGAAAGGTGATACAAAACAGAATCCAGAAATTATTGAACATTATCATCAATATCAGAAGCAAGTAAAATATTACTGAAGATAATTCCAAAATGGTTGCTGAAGTATATTAACAATGAACTGCCAGAAGTTCAAGCTGGATTCAGAAGAGCTCATCGACTGAGGGATATCATTACTGATAGTACATGGATCTCGGCTGAGAGCAGAGAATGTCAGAAAGATGTTTACTTGTGGTTTATTGACTAAGAAAAGGCATTTGACTGTGTGGTTCATAACAAATTATGAATAAATTTGTGAAGAATTGAAGTTCCAGAACATTTAACTGAGCTTATGAGGAAACTGTACATAAACCAAGAGGCAGTCCTTCAAACAGAACAGGGAGATACTGTGTGGTTTAAATTCTGGAAAGGTGTGTGTCAGGAATGTATCCTTTCACCATACTGATTCAATCTGTATGCTGAGCAAATAATCCAAGAAGCTGGACTACATAAAGAAGAACCGGGCATCAGGATTGGAGGAAAACTCATTAACAACCTGTGATATGCAGATGACATAACCTTGCTTGCTGAAAGCCAACAGGACTTGAAACACTTACTGGTGAAGGTCAAAGACTACAGCCTTCAGTATGGATTACACCTAACATAAAGAAAAGAAAATTCTCAAAACTGGACCAATAAGCAACATCATGATAAATGGAGAAAATATTGAATTTGTCAAGATTTCATTTTACTGGGATCCACCATCAAAGCCCGTGGAAGTAGCAGTGAAGAAATCAAATGATACATTGCATTGGGCAAATTTGCTGCAAAAGACCTCTTTAAAGTGTTAAAAAGCAATGATGTCACTCTGAGAATTAAGGTGCACCTGACCCAAGCCATGGTATTTTCAATCACCTCATATGCATGTGAAAGCTGGACAATGAATAAGGAAGACTGAAGAAAAAATTGATGCCTTTGAATTATGGTGTTGGCGAAGACTATTGAATATACCTAGAACTGCCAGAAGAACAAACAAATCTGTCTTGGAAGAAGTATTCAGTATATATGAATATTACCAGTCATTTATAAAACTACTTATTAGGATGATTACGATTTTTAGTGTATTATTTATTTATATAATTTTTATTATCTGGCTGTATGTTGTTGTTAGGTTCTGTCAAGTCAGCTCTGACTCGTAACAGCCCCATGTATATCAGAACAAAACATTGCCCAGTCCTGTACCATCCTCACAACAGTAGGTATCTCTGAGTCCATTGTTGCAGCTAATGTGTCAATCCATCTTGTTGATGTTCTTCCTCTTTTTCGCTGACCCTCTACTTTACCAGGCACTATGTCCTTCTCCAGGGATTGGTCCCTCCCGAAAACACGTCCAAAGTAATCTAGACATAGTTTCACCATCTCTCACTTCTAAGGAGCATTCTGGCTGTACTTCTTCCAAGGCAGATTTGTTCGTTCTTTTGGCAGTCCATGGTATATATGTAACATATATTTAATGTTTTACAATAACTTTGACTAAAACAAACATTATTTTTTATTACTCTGACTTAACGCATTAAAAAATATTTGGCAAACAAAAAACTGTCTATTTTATTGGCATATCAAAATGATCTTACCAAAGTTCTGTCTGAATGAGAATATTACAACTTGTTTTCACAAAGCAAAACTTAGATAAAGAAAATAGAAACTCCTGTTAAGTATTATACTTTGCCTAAGAACAAGCTAATTTTTGTGCTGGAAGTATGCCTGTAGGTTAGGTTGGAAGTTTAGCTGCCTGTTAAGTTCTCTGTGTTCAGGACTTATTTCTAGTTTGCTTATTACTGTACATATCTGTTCATTAAGATAATTATCTGACACCTGCTCATGGCAGATTGTTTTGACAGATTATATTGGCTGTGATCATTTTGTTACCTGCCATCTGTCCAGTAAAGGTGAGTTCAACAAGCTGGTGCTTTTTAGGACAGTTTAAAAGATCATTTTTCATGAATGAGAATTTTCTTCTTATCTTTAAGCTGTTGACCAAAAAGAAAATGTTATGGATAGATATTTTTGTTAAATACAGTATCTTTAGTCTTTCTCAGGCATATCTCTTTATCTCAACTGCTGGTTTGAACATTGTTTCAATTTAATCAGAAGCATACATCAGAAGGAGCATACTATAGTGAAACAGAACGTGTTGGTTAAATTAAGTATTTCATTTGGTTGGCATTGTGAAGAGCTTTAAATCACATTGTTTTCTTTTTCATGTTTGGTTGGTTTTTGACTCTTTAGCAAACTCTATAAACATCTCAAATTAAATTAAATCTGTTTAAAGCACGTATACAATGTTGTTTATATTATTATGAATTAGAGCAACTCTATTATTATAGATTTTTTTTTTTAATCCGTAAAAAGTAAACAGCATTCAGTAAGGGAAAGTTACTCAGCGTGTAAATAAGTTATAATTAAAACAGTTCTTAGGAGTGGTGATAATTATCTGAGATTATTTTTGAAATAAAAAGAAATTTAAAGAAAACTTGAAAGTCAACTATAAAACATATCTAAAAGTTTTTAAAAAATCAATAGGTTCTCTTGTTTAAAGTAGGCCAATGTTCTTCTTCTTATTATTACCTTTCAGTCAGCAGGGTAATTTTAGTGGAAGAGATCATAGTAAATTTTCTTTCATTTTTTTTCTTCACTTTTGTAATTATTTACCCAATATTACATAACACCATGTGTCGGACATTGGAGAAACAGTAGTTAGCAAGATAGACCTGGTCCCAACCCTTCTGCATCTTAAGGTCTAACTTTTAATGCTGTCTTAAAGTAATCAAGCCATTTGGTCCCAATCGCAGCTTTAAGTATTGCTATTTAAATAAGCACATTTTTTCATTGTTGTTAGTGTATGAATTAGTAACAATTGTAAAAGCTGTGTTGAAAGAAAAATTAGAATATCTCAAGACATTTGAAAATTTACCTACTGGCTGTGAAGTGACCTCCACTTTGCATATGTATTTATTTGAGTGGAGAGGACCAGGGCTTTTTCTGCTTTTGTGAATTCTGCCTAGTTATCTGGCATGATAGGAATTTTTCAAAGGCTGCTTTGAGAAAGTAGTCCAACACTAGTTTAGAGTACTCTATTGGATGGTGGGGAGTTTAAAAAAAGGAACAGGGCAAGTCCTTAAAGACCTTCTGGTATAATAAGAAGACAGCACCAACATAAATATATGCATATAAATACAAGTGACTCCAAGAAATAATATACACAATCAACTGCTGGACCAAAGGCTCTCTCAAGGGCCTCTTTGTGCTATATGATCTTGTGATTTGTTGAGCCATAGCTTTCTAAAGGAATATACAAAAATCTTAGAGTTCCAAAAGCCAAGAAGTTTGAACAACTGGGACTCCTCAGAGCTTCTGTGGAGAGGCTTTATCAAACAATTGAGCTTTAGGCCATAGGTATCAGACACACAGCATCACACTCATGTAAAACACAGCCAGATTGCCACAATGTCGACATGTTGCCAAAGTGTTTACGAGGAGAATGAAAAATACAACCAACTGGGCCATTGTCTACATGACAAGGAAGAATCATTCAACTAATTTTTTTGATTGATGGGACCAGTTGTTTTGGCACCATTTCAGACTGCATCGTACAAAAGTGCCCTACCTGAATCATTCCAGATTCCAAAGATGTACAGATTCCAATCTAGCTACATTTTGAAAACTAGGATTAGAGACATTTTCCAATAAATCTGTTGGTTTATTTCTTGTGTAACCAATCACATAAATTTTGATTTTGATTTAAGAAGTGATTTATCTTGAAAATTTAAGCCACAACCTCATTGCTTAATTTATAACTATATGAAATATTCCATTTTATCAAAGAAAAAATTGTATATAATTTTGTATTCTACCCAATACTTAAAGTAGTTTTATCAGGACCAACTTTTCTTCTTTGCAAGAGTTAATCTAGCATGAAATACATTGAATTATGGCAAATTCTTGTCCTTGAAAAGTAGTGCTTGAAGATGGTTATGTGGAAAGATGTGAGAATTGCTGTGCTATATGAAAACAAAGGGAATAAATACAAGTGCACACCAGAGATGATTTCAGATCACTTTAAATGGCACACAAATGAAGAAGATACCAGAAACTATATTATTGCTGGTAGGTGCCCACCAGTAGGTTTCGACGCATAGAGAGAGACCCTAAGTATAATAGAATGAAATACTGCTCAGTCCTGCTCTATCCTGATGATTGTTGTTTTGCTTGAGCCCATTGTTGCAGCCACTGTGCCAGTCCATCCCCTTGAGGGTCTTCCTCTTTTTCGGTGACTTCTACTTTACCAAGCATGATGTCTTTCTCCAGGGACTGTTCCCCCCGATAACATGTCCAAAGTATGTAAGACTAAGTCTCGCCATCTTTGCTTCTAAGGAACATTTTAGCTGTACTTCTTCCAAGACTGACTTGTTTATTCTTCTGGCAGTCCATGGTATATTCACTATTCTTCATGAACCTCATAATTCAAAGTTGACAATTCTTCGTCAGTCTTCCTTATTCATTGTCCAGCTTTTTCATGCATATGAGGCGATTGAAAACATCATGGCTTGGGTCAGGTGCACCTTAGTCCTTAAAGTGACATCTTTGATTTCTAACACTTTAAAGAAGTTCTTTTGTAGCAGATTTGCCCAATGCAATACGTTGTTTGATTTCTTGACTGCTGCTTCCAACAGCGTTGATTGTGGATCCAAGTAAAATGAACTCCTTGACAACTTCAGTCTTTTTCCATTTATCGTGATGTTGCCTACTGGTCCAGTTGTGAGGATTTTTGTTTTCTTTCTATTGAGATATAATCCATACTGAAGGCTGCAGTCTTTGATCTTCATCAGTAAGTGCTTCAAGTCCTCTTCACTTTCCACAAGCAAGATTGTCCATCTACATAACACAGGTTGTTAATGAGTCTTCCTACAATCCTGATGCCCTGTTTTTTTCTTTTTATGTAGTCCAGATTCTTGGATTATTTGCTCAGTATACAGATTGAACAAGTGTACTGAAAGGATACATCCTTGACCCTCACCTTTCCTGACTTTAAACCACGCAGTATCCCCTTGTTCTGTTTGAACGACTGCCTCTTGATCTATGTACAGGTTCCTCGTGAGCTGAATTAAGTATTCTGGAATTCCCATTCTTTGAAATGTTATCCAGAATTTGTTATGATCTACACAGTCAAATGTCTTTGCACAGTCAATAGAACACAGGTAAACATATTTCTGGTATTCTCTGCTTTGTGCCAGAATCCATCTGTTATCAGCAATGATATTTCTCGTTCCATGTCCTCTTCTGAATCCAGCTTGAATTTCTGGCAGTTCCTCGTCAATGTACTGCTGCAACCACTTTTGAATGATCTTCAGCAAAATTTTTCTTGTGTGTGATGTTAATGATATTGTTCGATAATTTCCACATTCTCTTGGATTCCTTTCTTTGGAATAGGCATAAATATGGATCTCATCCAGTCAGTTGGCCAGGTAGTTTTCTTCTTGGCATAGATGAGTGAGCACTTCTAGCACTGCATCCATTTGTTGAAACCTCTCGACTTGTATTCCCTCAATTTCTGGAGCCTTGTTTTTCACCAATGTCTTCAGTGCATCTTGGACTTCTTTCTTCAGTATCGTCGGTTCTTAATCATATGCTACCTCCTGAAATGACTGAATGTCAACCAATTCTTTTTTTTATGGTGACTCTGTGTATTCCTTTATCTTCTTTTGGTGTGGAGCCCTGGTGGCACAGTGGTTAAGAGCTACTATGGCTACTAACTAAAAGGTCAGTGGTTCGAATCCACCAGATGCTTCTTGGAAATTCTATGGGGCAGTTCTACTCTGTCCTGTAGGGTCACTATGAGCTGGAGTTGACTTGCCAGCAACGGGTTTGGTTTGGTTTTCTTTTGATGTTTCCTGAATTTTTCAGTGTTTTGCCATAGAATCCTTCAATATTGCAACTCAAGGCTTGAATTTTTTCTTCAGTTCTTTTAGCTTGAGAAATGCCAAGCATGTTCTTCCCTTTTAGTTTTCTAACTCCAGGTCTTTGCACATGTCATTGTAATACTAAGAAACTATACCAAAACTAAAACCAAACCCATTGCCATCAAATCGATTCAGACTCATAGTGACCCTGTAGGAGAGAGTAGAACTGCCCCATAGGGTTCCCAAGGAGAGGCTGGTGGATTCAAACTGCTGAACTTTTGGTTAGCAGCCACAGAAGCTATGGGAGTCTTTAAATCATTAGGTCAGAATGGTACCTCCGGAAGGCATTAGATGGGTACAAAAATAAGCTACATGTCTGTTCCTGAGTCAGGCAAGTTAGAAAAAGAACAAGAACAGAATATGATTTGCAGAGAAAGGCAGCCTCAATTGCTCACTTCTACCTTGTCCTTAGGTAGGGATAGAGTTGTTAGAGACACCAAGCAGATGCAGCAAGTTTGTAGTAGATATACTTTGATTGAACCTAGTCTTTAATTGATAGGCGACACATTCTTCTGGTTTCAAATAATCTCCTCATTAGAAAAAAATGTTAAAACAATGATAGGCATTACGCATCTAATGATACAATTTGTAACATACTAGACTTTCTATGGAAATTAGAACATGAAATCTGATTTAATCACCTTAACATAATCCAACTTTATGGTTTTATTGCAGTCTTCCCATTGCTTTTTTGGGATACTGAAACTCAGGGAGCCCAAGAGACTTCTCCAAGTTCACATGAAGCTGAATCCTAACTGAGTGAGTGTTCTTTCCATTCTTTCCCTGCAAAAAGGCCAAAAATGAAAGTGGACTTTTAGCTGCTGCTCTTGACATATCGACATAATAGTTAATTGTAGCTGAATTCTCTTTATGTGAGGAACCACTTGCTTTTTGTCAATTTTTGCAATTAATTATTAAGCACTGATAGAATTTCTGGGTTTCTTGAATCAAATTAACTTGTAAGTTTGTATTGGGCAGACTTGAAAAATAGGGGTAAAAGATGTCTTTAAGATGAAGCTCAGAGCCTGTTTATTTGACCACAAGCCACCTCCTAGCTCCTGAAAGGCTTTCTCTTGTCTGCTGTTTTATTCTCATTCATATTAATGTTCCTTCACTGTCCTCCTCCCTTCTCCAGGAAGCAGGTTTTCCATGTGTCCATGAAGCACACTGGATAAATTCCTATGACAGTGTACTGACCAATCTATAGAGACAGGATGTTATGGGCAATAGGTCTTTTCCTTCACTTTCTGAAAAATGTAAAAAGCATAGTTTATTTCTCCAGTTCATAAGGTAAGCGGTGGTTCCTCCTTATAGTTTTTTTTGTGTGTGTGGATGGAGGTAACATTGAACTAATTTAAAGCCTATACATGGAAGAAAGTTCTGTGAGGTTCACTAATATCAGAAAATCTGAAGAGATCATGGAATCCCACAGATTTAGCAGTGGAAATACTAGGGTTTTATATTTTTGGCTAATTTTTTCTCAATGATAGAAAAATACATGGCCTAAAACACCTTAATGCGAATGAGATTTAGAACATTTCAAATGTAGTTATCCGCTCTGGGATTTCTACAGTGTACGTTCCATGGAGAAGTCCATCTTTTTTCTCCATGGTACTCTCCCTTTCCCTCTTCAGTTACTGCTATACTGATCGTTACTTCTTGGGGTGTAAAACAAAGAGCTGATTTTCAATGTTTGCATTCACTGCATGCTTTGGGAATTTATTTAGAAAACTTTTAAATTGTGTTTGTATCTTTGCTCTTACGTTTCTAATGGTCTCTTGTTTATAAAGTGACATTTTCCCTAAATTGGAAATGCAACCATGGTTTTTAAAATAACATATTATATAAACATCTTATGACTTCTGTTTAGAAGGAAAAATTTAATTGGCATAAGATCATGGGTATTGTTAAGTATGCAATTAATAATTTTTAAGGTTTTGTGTTGAAATATAAATATCTATCAGTAAAAATAGGAGTTAAATTTGTTTATATTTAAAATTCCAAAAGTTCGGTTTTAGGATTGTTTGTTTCCATCACCATGACTACCTTTATTCCATTTATTCTCAAAGATGTCACGAGATGCATTCATTCAAAAACATTTTGTATACCTCATAGGCACAAGGTGTTATACTTGGCTGCATGGGAATGTGAGATGGAAACATACATATGTTCTACTCAAGAGCAGAGTAATACAGACACAGTAAGTGTCAAGTGTGGAGGGAAGATATTTATCCTTCAATAGAATAAAGACCTCGCTTCTGGACTCATACCCTCGGTCACTCCTCTCTAGGGGAGGAAGGCTGATTTATCTAACTAGTGAATTTGGAAAGAATTAGAAAGAAGCAACAAATATAGCACAGATGCCATCTTTATTTTCTTTGTGATTCAGGAATTTTACAGGGGAAAGCACCTAATATGTGTAGGTGGGGGTGGGAGAGCTTGTGAATGTGATAAGGTGCGTTTAAAACAGAGATAAAATAATAATCTCACCAGAATAGTTCTCTAAAATCAGCTATAATTTGTAATATAAATGACAATTTTATCTCTATTTGACTGAACCTCAACAAATTGTAAAAACAATATAAAATGAGGGAACATTATTCATATATTTAAAGAGACAGAAATAAGGATTTATGATGATAGAAAAAAGATAATTTACTTCTGATTGAGATGCCCAGAGATGCTTAGAGAAAACTTCAAAGAGGAAGTGACATCTCAGTTGAACTTGGAAAAATAAGCAGACTTTAGACATGTGAAAATTGGAAGAAGGTAAGGGTAAAAACACGGAAGTGATGGAATATGGGAAGTACATAGGAAACAATAAGCAAAGCCATTTGCCAGGTGCTCTGGGTTTGTAAAATTGCCTTCAGCAGTTTTGGTCTCTCAGGAAATGGCAACTTATCCTTCCAGTTGCTCAGGTCAAAAATAAGGAGTCATCTTAACTTCTCTTTTTTCTCATATACCCCACATCCAACCTGTCAGCAAATCTGTCTATTATAACTTCAAAATATACCCAGATTCTAACTTTTTCTCTCTCTCTGCTGACCTACATCGCCAAATGTTTCTTTTCTCAGAGAAAAAGTTAAAGTTACTTTAATTATCTATAAGGCTCTATGTGATCTGGATTCTGCTACCGCTTCAATACCTCAACCTTATCTATGACAAATCTCCATCTCTTCTGAAATTCTGAACTTACTGGTCTCTATATTTATGCCAAGCAGACTGTGGCCTCAGGATCTTTATAATTCAGTTCTCTCTGCTTAGGACACATTTTCTCCAGGTATCGACATGGCTCACTCCCTCATCTAGTCTAGGACTGTGCTCAAATCTCACCTTATTGTCATGTTAGCAGTGCCGTCCCTATTTAAAACAGCAGCTCTCGCCTCTATTCCAGGGACATACTCTCTTATTCCTTTTCTCACTTTACGTCACTTGATAGCACCTACCACCAGCTGTTTCAAACAGATTAGGCTAGGCTATGCTGTAGCAACAACAACAACAACAAAAAAAAAACCACATTGCCATCGAGTTGATTCCGACTCATGGCAACCCCTGTGTTTCGGAGGAGAACTACCCTCCATGGTTTTCATGGCTGTGATCTTTCAGAAGCAGATCTTCAGGCCTTTCTTCCAAGATGTCTCTGGGTGAGTTTGAACCACCAACATTTTAGTTAGTAGCCCAGCACTTAACCCTTTGTGCCATACAAGCAACTAGTGATGCCCAAATCCCAGTCTTTTACAACAACATGCTATACGTCCATAGGAGGTCCGTGTGGCTCCATTCTATGTTATCTTCTCTCTGCTACCCAGGGTAATGAGTAGGCTCTATCTGGAATACTGCTGATTGTTTTGGCAGATGGAAATTTTTGGCAAAACACCAGCTGACTCTTTTTTTTTTCCTTTTTTATTGTACTTTAGGTGAAGGTTTACAGAACAAATAGTTTCTCATTAAACAATCAGTACACATATTGGTTTACAGCATTGGTTAACAACCCCACGACATGTCAACATGCTCCCTTCTTGACCTTTTTTTTTTTTTTTTGGTGAAAATATACACAGCCAAAGATACACCATTTCAAAAATTTCTACACGCACAGTTCAGTGACATTGATAACTTTCCTCCAGTTGTGCTGCTATTCTCACTTTAGATGAAGGTTTACGGAACAAAATAGTTTCTCATTAAACAGTTAGTACACATGCTGCCCTCTGACAATGGTTAACAACCCCACTACATGTCAACACTGTCCTACTCCACCTTGGGTTCCCTATCACCAGCTCTCCTGTCCCCTTCTGCCTTCTAGTCCTTGTCCCTGGACTGCTGTGCCTCATTAGTCCCATTTTGTTTTATGGGGCTGTCCAATCCCTGGCTGAATGGTGAACCTCGGAAGTGACTTCACCACTGAGCACCAGCTGACTCTTAATGGTTTTCCTAGAAGTGACACATAACACTTCCATTCACATTTCATTTCAAAGCAAGAAGTACAACTGAATGTGATATGAATGAGGCGATGAAGTATAACTCTCATGTATCACAGGAAGGGGCAGTGTAATATTTGGCAATCAGTAATATAATCCACCACATTATGTGGCATAATACATATTTTATTTGCTTGGTTATAGTCTATCTCACTTCATATCCTAGGTAAGTTTCCCTGAAAACATTAGAAAATATACCAGTAAGGGAGCAAAGGTACATGAAACATCAAAGTTACTTATATTTTATTGATAGTTTGAACAGTAATGAACACCTGTTAGACATTATTGAGACAGTATGTACTAATGGAGTTGGGAGGTATGGTCAGGGATTACATATATATCAATCAACTGTGCATATTATTTATGAACTTGAAAAGGGTTTATCTAATAACCTCAAAGTCTAGCTGTGATGCAGTGCTATTTCTATCAAATTGGATGTCTGTAAAGAGTCTTATTTCAAGATAGGTGTTCTCTATAGTCAATGAATGCTGTCTACTCAATAAACAACAGCAACAAAGGAAAAATTTATTAATTTCCAGAAGAGTAAGCATGATTTCCCTACTGGCCTGGAGATGCTAATGTGAAATGTTACACAAAGGTATATAAGATATATGACATTATTTGGTACATAGTGAATACTCAACAAATGATTGAAATTATTATGTTTGTACATTTTAATCCCTAATAATTGGGAAAAGAATGTTCAGACTAAAGACTCCTGTTACTCTATATAACCTATATGACTTGCCAAATTCCCAGGATGAGAATGCAATAAAGATGTTTAACATTATAATTAGCTATATGATTAATTAATTTCGATATTTTAAAATCAAAATTACATGTTCATTATTTTGAGTTTTAACTAAAGTCATTTCATCTTCATTCCTCAGGTATTACATCTCATGGGATCTACAGAACCATAAAATGCCAAGAATATAAGGATTTGCTCTCACATGAAGAACACATATTCCCAGTACTTAGCACAGGCCCTGATACAATAAATGCTCCTTAGATGATTGACTGAACTAATAAGTAAATGAATGCATGTAAATAAGGATACCAGCAAATCTGCAAGTGGGTAGGATTTCAGTTATTATATATGTGTACTCTTTTTTATTTAACATATTAGTTACTAAATACATGTTGCAACATAAAATAGTAATTGTTTATTACTACCTACATGAGTGGTATATTTGTTTTTCTACAGTCGATTTTTAGGGCTAAACAAATAACTTTAAGTTCTTTTTAGCCTATGGCTAGATCGTAATATGATGTATTTCAAAGTGTCCATAGGCCTTTAAAGTGATGGCTAAAGAATCTCTCAAGGCATAGAAATAGATAAAGCCCTCTCTTAAAAGTATTCTGCTCACCTTTCTTAAAAAAATGGGAGGGGTTAGGAAACGTGGGGTTTATTGAATCAAGCAAAGCCTCAATCCCATAGTAACTTATTCAGGGGTGATACTGATCAATAGAGTCAAAGACATACGCATCTAACTAAAATAAACAGCGACTTTCTTATCCTCAATAGATTCTTCATGAGTTCCTATAGATAAGAACACAAACGAGATTTTTCTTTACAGATATTTTGTTTATTCCTATTAAATATGCCTCAGGAGTTCTCTAACGTTAAAGTCCTCAGTGCATTCGACTGTGTTGGTTGTTTTTCTTAGAATTGTCAGAATTTGGTCAGGTTCAAAAAACCTATTGGTTAGGACATCTAAATAATTAGCTACAGATCTTTGATATAAAGATAACAGATATAGTTATGTACATTATCTAAGAATTTAACAAATGCTTTTAAAATGTAATTTTGTTTTATAATTAAAATTTTAATCATAAGGCACGTTCAGGATCACATGATTTTTGTCTAAATGAGAAATTATTTGACTTCAAATTAAACATAGCTTTCAATGTTTTTTTACTTGACCTATCATTTATGAATCTGATAGAAAGATTCTATAATCTCTTCGGATTTATTCTCTTTGGAATCGTGTGTCTATTATCTGCTTTTCTTGCATGTTTTGGACTTAGGCACATTTTCTTTTGTCTTCCATCCCTTTTTCATGTCCTTGCTTTCCTTAAGTTCTGTTTTATACTGTCAAATGTTTCACAAGTAAGTTTTCCTGTGCAGTACGATGGAGTTCTTTGGTGGCAAAGAGATACATACATCCAAAAAAAAAAAGATGTGGTTGGACATCATCAGACCTGTGTGTAACTTAAGTCCTTGTCACAAGTCCTTGTATCCAAGAGTCAACGTGCATATGAAAATGTGAAAACCCAAGGTAGTATAGGACAATTTGGCTTTATATCATTAGAAAATAATAATAGATAAACTTTCCAGCATCCAGGGGTTTGCTGTGTGGTGGGCATAATCTCTCTGAATTTCCGTGACCTTTTAACTAGCTTTAATGCTTGATCAAACAAGAAAGTCCAAATTAAATAACGCCCGAAGTCTTCCTCTCAATGCATGGTTAATGTTTCCTTCTCGTACTTCAATTATACTATCTTCATTATGCTTCCTTCCTCACTCTCACAGTTGTTAAAATGAAAAGCCTCTTTCTGAGTGCCACAGCTCCATTATGCAGGCCTATACCTGTGCTGGCAGCATGCTCTTCTTCTCACCTCATATTGCCTTTTGCTTGGGGAGGAGATCCCTGCCGAGCATCTCAAACTGAAAACTGAAAGAAAATTAAGTTGCCATTTGGAGTTTGAGTGAATTATGGAAAACGGGCCCGTTTTTTGTCTACCAGGCATGTTGGTATAAGCTATTACCCACCTTCTACCCTATTCCCTACAGTGGTAGCTGTCAGTATGGAAATCTCATCTAAACTTTTTCTCAGTTCGTACCTAAGGCAAGGACACACACACAAACTTGGCATTTCCTTCAGACTATGTCTATGTGTTGAAAATAATGGGTTACAAAATGGTTGGTCTGTCTATTTTAGTCATCTTAATAGTCAACTTGAGGCACTGAACTATAAAGCTTGGCAATTCAACAATAATTAGTTTCTAATTCAGATAAACAAAAAGCCAAATCAACTGGTTGGTGGCAACATGTGAACAAGAACTAAATATCAACCTGCCTTCAGCTAACCCAGAGTTTCTTTCTGCAAACACAATATTATTTGACGGCTTTGCATTTTGTTTGGATATTTTATTTTTTATGTTTTTTATATCCTTACAGTTTCGTGTGCAAATTTGTAAATGCACACATATGCAGTCACAGTTGAAGTTTTAGAACTTAAGCCTAAGGACTTAAGTCAACTGGGAAACTGAGATGCCCTTAATTCAGTGGGCAACCAAAAACAAAACAGGCAGGAATGTGAATGGGCCACTAATGGCCTTTCAAAAGCTTAGCCTAGTGGTGCCAACTACCAGGAACATGGAAATGTCACAGAATAATCTGACAGCTGATGTGTCTGTTTAAGGCAATATTTTGGTGTTACTACTTACATTGTGAAATAGGTATGTGATACGTTTTGAGAATCCCTTTTGAAGGAAAATCTCTCTTAACATTTCCAAAATGTTCATGCTTGGAAGCCAAACCACAATAACCTCTACTAAGATGAAAAGGTTAGTCGGTAGGGGAAAATCACAAAGTCATTCTTTATCATGAACACCTAATTTTGACCTACTGGTTAGAAGATCTGCCTTAGAGTTATGAGTTCAGGACAATTAAATATCAATATTTTTTTTTTTATATTTTATTGTACTTCAGGTGAAGGCTTACAGAACAAATAGTTTCTCCTGAAACAGTAGTACACATGTTGTTTTAT